CAAGACTGCCCTATTGGGAAAGGGTGCTGATCCTACCTTCATTTTTCCTTGGATTGGATTTACTAACGTCAAGTCATTTTTATGCTCCTCTATTGTTTGATTGTAGAAAGCTATGCTAAAAATAAAAATAAAAATAAAATAAAATTAAAAACTGTAGAAAGCTATGCTCTATTAACAATAACCAAAGCAATTGAAAAGTGATTTAGATATGAAATCGGCAAGTGAACTTGATCAGAGCTGCTGGATGTCGGTGCCCTTTTAGAAGATGATTGATGAGAATGTTGATGTTGTTAATCTGCCATATCATGGTGATAATCGGCCAGAAGATTTAGTTTGACCAGCGCACTGTGTATTTCATCTTTATCAAAAGGGCTCAGGGTAATGCTTGATCTTTCATACTAATTCTTTGACTGTTACTGTAATTTGAAATAATACATTATATAGGTGTAAAGATGTAGATGATTTAGGTTCCGTGGTTCTAGCTGAATTCAAATTGGCGTCTTTGGTTTAAAAGGAGTCTACAAGCATGATGCATTGCTAAGGTTAAAATGAAAAGAAATTGATCATACTGATTTAATTGGAATGGAATTAAGTCCTTTTTTGCTTTTGTTAAAAGGGTCAATGATGTAATACCATGCAAAGGAACAAGAACTGCTTGGGGGTTTTAATATAAGATTATTAAAATTTTGCTAGTTATAGAATTGATTCTTACCCAAGTTAGGCTTTCGGAATTTTCAATTAGAGACTATGCAAGGCATGTAGTTACAACTAGATTAGCGGGATGCTATCAAGTTAACAACATAAAATAAAGAGTGTAATATTATGGCGAAGAAACAATAATCCACGGTTAACGAATAGAACTTTTCACCTTGGGGCCCTCACGCACGCTCTTGACGGTGGGGCTTTAACGGAGGAAGATTGAGAGCAAACCGAGCAATGCCACTAGGAGACAAATGGTGCCCAAGGTATAGTCCGTTGGAGAAGTAGCCGGCGGCGAGGAGTCCACGGGATGACTAGTGAGTATCTAATGTTCGGGAGGAATATGCTACTCGATAGAAGGTACTAACATAAAGAGGACGCACTTCAAGTAATCCTCCACATAAGAGTCCACGTCTAGGTTCACGTCGAATAAAGGAGATTCAAGAATGTTGGTTCGTCCTTGATCATCAAATAAGAAACCTTGGTAATAACAGCTCTGTTAAATTTGAATTTCAATTTTTAATGCTAGGATCAATGGGGGCCGGCGGGTGGGGAATCAATGGGGGCCGGCGGCTAGTTAGAGGGGAAGGGAGTTTTGTGGGGGAATTATGAGCTTCCAAAACAAGCTATGTGATTTGGGAAAGGAATTATGATATACACTCTAATTTCATATTCAAATTAGATCTAGATTAACTCACTTTCCTAATTTAGGATTTTAAAAAAAGGAAAGTATTTGAAATTCAAAATTTGAATTTCAAATAATTTGAATTCTTTCCCTCTTGGCTTGGCTTAACTTAGGAAGGCAATTATGATGAGGAAGATCATCATAATGGTGGGGATTGTAGAGGTGGCCAACGGCATGAGGGGAAGGGGAGGGGGATTTGGTTCGGGTGGAGGGGAGTAAGCTTTGGGTCGGCAGTGTGATACGCCCTAGGGTTCCCAAGTTTGGATTTTCCCTAATGCTCCTTCAAAGAAAAGATTTCTCCTCCAAATCAAGGAAAAAATCAACACAAGAGGGATGAGATGAAGAACCAAAACCTTTGCATTCAAAATCCAAGGGAAAACAAGATACAATTTGTCCACTTCGAGAAGGACAATGTCTACCACTACAAACCTTAGAAAAACAAGAGAAAGAAACTAAGGAGGCTAAGAGAAAACTCAATTCTTGCATAACCCTAGAAATC